GAAACCCATGAAGTCGAAAGATGGTGTCAATAAAGACACAAGCACAGCCACTTGCTGTGATTGACTCGGGTACAGCCACAAGGTGTACCATTTTGCTGAATCGGTCAACAAATACGAGAATACCCGTATTCCCGCGCGCGTCTTTGGGTAACCCGAAGACGAAATCCATTGAGATGGATTCCCAGCACTCAGCCGGAACCGGTAGAGGCTGTAAAGGTGCACGCAGTGAAGGACTTGACTTCACTCGTTGACAGACTTCGCATGCGCGAACATACTTTCGCACAAACTGATACTGCCGGGGCCAGTAAAAATCTCGACTCACCGTGAGATATGTTTTCCCCCGGCCACGATGTCCTCCTATAGGAGCATCGTGATACTCGAACATGATCCGCAAACGCAGATCAGTATCATCTGGAATGACAACACGTGGTGTGTCACCAGTAACGGCTGTGTAATACAGTAAACCGTTGCGAGTAGTGTATCGATCTTGTGCAGATCGATAAGTAGACGATAGTCGTTTCAAAGATTCTCGAGATGGCTGTGAGAGATGTGTCAACAACTTCACAATCTCACCATCTTGGGCAAACGTCCGCCTCACATCATCATGTAACGTTGTAGATGGTATGGTGGACGTCATAACCGCAACAGTGACTGTCTCACTGTTGGGTTGCACGACTGGTTCAAAGTCGGGCCGACGTGAGAGTGCATCAGCGGCGACATTAAGTCGTCCTGGTTTGTACTAGACCGTAAAGTTGTATTCTGCAAAGAATGACAACCACCGCGCCATTCGTTGTGAAAGGTGCGGGCTGTTTACTGCCGTACGTAATGACGCATGGTCAGTGTAAACAATGAAGGGTCTATCTCCTAATAGATAGACTCTGAACTTCGCGAGTGCATACTTCATGGCAAGGAGTTCCTTGTCATGCACTGGATAGTTCCGCTCAGCTGGTTGCAGCTGACGCGACTGATAGCAGACGACGCGTTCAACGCCGTCAAGATCGTACTGCACTATTGCACAGCCGATTGCGAAATCGCTGGCATCACAGACCACATGAAATGGCCTGTCCTGATCGGCAATTGCTAGGAATGGGGATTCTATCAAGCTCTGCTTGATACCATCAAAGGAGCGCTGACATTCAGCGTTCCATAACCATATCTCGTTCTTTTTCAACAAACGAGAGAGGTGTACAGTCATCTCGGCGTAATTGCGTGAATACTTGTGCAAATACGCCGCTAGCCCAAGAAATTTTCGACGACCTTTGACATCAACTGGCACAGGCCAGTCGGTGATCGCCTTGATCTTTTCGGGATCAGGACGTACACCGTTCTTGCCAACGATGCACCCAAGAAGTGGTATTTCGCTTGCTGCAAATATACACTTCTTGAGATTTGCATACAATTGATGCTTTCGCATGATTGTAAGAACCTGTCGGACGTGGTATCTGTGAACCTCAACGTCCGACTTTCCATCCATAGCCCGACTATGAATGAATACGTCATCGAAACAACTCGGTGCAAATTTTCGTACTGGTGTCAACAGATGTGATACACATCTGTTGAACGTGGCAGGGGGATTACTAAGCCCTTGTGGCATTACTAGCCATTCCCAGAGCATGCCGCTAGGCGTGCTCTCTGCGGTATAGGGGTATGTCCCATTCTCGCAAAAGGATTTGATAGAAGCCATCCATCAAATCCATGGACGAAAAGATGGTACTCTTTGACGTACCATCAAAGTTTACGTCCTTCCTTGGTATCGGCGTCTGAGCCGGCACCGTTGCAGCATTCAACTTGTTAAATGCATGCACAATCCGCCGCCCTCCTGTTGCTTTTCGCATACAGAAGGTCGGAGAGCTATGTGGGGAGGTTGATTCCCTCACATGGCCCGCAGCTAAACGATTGGCAAAAAACTTGTCGATCGCAAGTACTTGTTCACGAGGCAGTGGCCACTGCTTCATGACACAGTACGTCAAGCCTGGTTTAAGCTCGGCCTCGTGCCGAGTACCTTTATCCTTCGGTAATTCGCACGGAACAGTTTCAGGGAATACATCCTTGAATTCAACCAAATCTTCATCGAGAGGATTTGTCTTGAGCGATTACCACGATTGGGAGTTATATCGCTCAACTCGTGTCTTTTCATCTAGGACACTCTCGTCCATCGATGAACTACTGAGAACTCTCTCGTTCTCAGTAAACACTGTTGCTGACCTTATGTCGGCTACACACTCGTCGTCAGCGACGAGTACGCAGATCTGCTTGACTTTGCCACTACGCAGATCACGCAAGAACCTTTTATGTTCGAGCGTTGGCAACTGAGTGATCTCCGAAGTCAACTTCGGAAGCGCAATCAGATCAAGTGTGTAAGCGCCCACACTTGATACATCATTGACTAGGACATTCAATGTCTCTGTCATTTCCTGGGGACTTACTCCCTCAGGCCTCGAAAGACTTGTTCCTTCGGCTTCCCGGGGACTTATTCCCTCGGATTTCGGGAAACTTATTTCCGCCGTGTCTGTAATATCGGGACTTATTCCCTTTACTTCCTCTAGATGTGGTTGCGCAACCACAGCAAGATCCTCTACGAAAGACTCTCCAGTCGATCCAGGATTATCGTTTCGCTTAACCTGAGCGATCGATTGTTTCTCTTCTAGATGTTTTCCGCTAGGGATACATCTTTGTCCCAGTCCACTCGACTTATTCGAGTGGTGGAACTTCGGCGCAGCCTGTGTTTCCTCACAGCCGCCGGAATCTTGCTCCGAAGTGTAACTGTTTGTTACACTAAGGTTTCGTGCAGTCGTACTAACGACCGTACCACAAGTGAGGCCATCGCACTCACTCGTAGTACATCCACACGCTTGTGGACGCTCCAAAACGTTCATCAGATGGCCCTCTGATGAACAAGCGGCACGCATCGTTACTGTTCGATGGTGCCAGTTTACTCGTGGCTCGTACCTTCTGAGCCACGGTATTCCAAGGATGACATCAAATTTGTCATCCAAATCCAATACGATAAAGTCATCGTCATATTGGGTATCTTCTAGCGTATAGTGGATCTTCACTATACGCTTCATGACGGTTACGGATGCGCCTGTCGCAAGACGTACCATCATCCTCGTAGGAGGTGTGTCACATTCACTGAACTTAAAGTGACCACCTTCTAGCGATTGGCGTCGCACAAAATTGTTGGACGCCCCACAATCGACTAGAGCTCGAAGGGACAACTTATTTGTCACTTCGAGTTTCAAGGTAATGAGTGAGATCTCATTACCTAGAGCAGCAACGCACAACGTTTGTGTGTTGGGAGAAACCTTCATCAAGAGGCCTACAAATTCTCTTGACGTTGCTGGACCAGTAGGGTGCTCCGCACCTACTGATCCTGTCCGTTTTTTGACAGTCCATCCCGTTGTTGCGTCTTTGCACCAACAGCGGACCCGCGTTCCCGCCCCTTTCTCATGGGTGGACGGTCACTACGCCCAGTGTTGCGAGACACTGGACGAGGGGCACTACACTCGTAAGCGTAGTGTCCTGTCTTCTGACATCTGTTGCATTTCTGCAACTTCTTGTAGTCTGTAGAGCGAGCCTTCTCGCTCTCTACATAACAGAGTTCCATCGGCTCTGGACCTCCGCTGTCATATCGTCTCGGTTGACGATATGATGTTGAGCTGGCGCGAGCCTGTCTCAGACTGAAGTCTTTCTGTTCCGCAATGGAAATGGCTTGTTCTAGTGAATCTAGTTCAAGCCGGAACAGGTGAGTCTTGACGGGACCATCCGCAAGACCCTGCATGAACACCGAAACCAACGTGTGTTCATCAACCGGGTTGGAACTTATACAACTCGTGAGATGTCGTATATGTTGCGCGTAAGCGTGCACATCACGCTTACCCTGCTTGAGCTTCAAGAGTTCAGTTCGAGCTCTGAACTCAGCTCTAGGCGGTTCAAACGTTTGTCTGAGCCGCGACTTGAAGACTTCCAACGACCCAAACGCATATGGGTCGTGCAACTTGAGCCCCAGTGCCCAAGTATTGACACGTCCTGCCAGATTTGACTGGGCAAATGCAACTTGCATTTCCCCGTCGTCGATGCGACGCGCCCTTATGGCGTCTTCAATTCGACGAACCATCTCAAGAGGGAGTCCTCTTCGACTCCCCTATACTTGGAGATGTCAATCTTCAAGGTTTCGGGTCGACGCGAATGCATCGACCCACCAGCAACAGCCTGCTGCTGTCTCAACAGTTCAAACTATTGATCACCCTGTTCTCTCAACAACTATGATTGTTGAGAACCTTGTTGGTGAAGCAAGGCTACTTTCTCGCGTTCGGCGTCAAGTTCATTTTGAATGAGCTTGGCGATAGTAGCATGTTGAGCATCTCTATTGAGAGCATCTAGCATGACGCTAACAGCAGGGATGCCCATGGTTGAACCCATCCGTGCAACCGCATCCCATTCGACATCTCTCAAATGGGAGTAGCCGGCACGCGTAGCGTGAAAGCTTTGGTCGTCTTCATCATCTAACATATTCATGTTAGATGTGGACGTGGTCCTTGGACGGACTACAAAGTGCTACCAGGTGTAACGGGGCACCCTGAAGCTTGTACTGGTGACAGTACAAGCTAATTATTCTGATGACAGAATAAGGCGGTGCCTCAGAACTTCACGTACACTGGTACGTGCAGAGGAAGACGGTAAGAAGAAGCGAGTACTTGGTTAAAGTAAAAAGTAGAACTAAATTTATCATAGTTAATGTCTGCAATAAATCACTATTTATCTTCATCTAACTATGTCTAAATACAAATGTGTAAATCAACTCTCTGCTCACCACTCATTGCGTGCGTCTGTCGTGGCGCGTCTTCGTTGGTTGATATAATGGCCTATATCAACCAATTAGGAACTACTCGTAAGTGCTACAGAATATTTGTCCTTATGACGATATTCTGAGAGTGTAACTCTAATTAATATATTTTATCAACAATTTCTTATAAATTGTTATGAAACGATTCACCCCGTTACAGCTGGACTCCGTTTGTCAAGATGCGCTCAATCTGCTTCAAGAGATGGGCGTTCTCAACCTTGACGACGTCTGCCCGCTCTTGCACCGACGTCTCGAGAGGTGGCGGTGTGAACAGCGGTTTCCCTGACACGCATTCCAAGAGGAGGCACCCGAGCGACCACATGTCCATGGCCGAGCAGAGCAAGAGACCTGCTGCCACTTCTGGAGCACGATACGTGACGGTCTGCACGTCAAAGCCGCCACGAGCGTCCGCGTCAGCATACGCCGCTAGCTCGTTTGCACCCAAGTAGTTGCCAAAGTCCACCAATTTGACTGGTGACGGGCACGGCAACGCCGTTGACGCCGACGGGCTCAGTAAAGCTTCTGGACTTGACTGCACCACGTTCTCTGGCTGGACGTCTGCGTGGATGAGTCCTGGTCATGGAGAAACGCGAGTGCTCCGCAGAGATGCACCGCCATCTGCCGTATGTCCAGTAACGACACAGGTGGTGCCAACAACCCAGCCACGTCAGGTCCATCCACGTCCTGCTTCCGCTGATGCGTGCTTGCTACGAGTCCATCATGTAACGGGGTGAATCGTTTCATAACAATTTATAAGAAATTGTTGATAGGATATATTAATTAGAGTTACATTCTCAGAATATTGACATAAGGACAAATATTCTGTAGCACTTACGAGTAGTTCCTAATTGGTTGATATAGGCCATTATATCAACCAACGAAGACGCGCCACGACAGACGCACGCAATGAGTGGTGAGCAGAGAGTTGATTTACACATTTGTATTTAGACATAGTTAGATGAAGATAAATAGTGATTTATTGCAGACATTAACTATGATAAATACAGTTCTACTTTTTACTTTAACCAAGTACTCTCTTCTTCTTACCGTCTTCCTCTGCACGTACCAGTGTACGTGAAGTTCTGAGGCACCGCCTTATTCTGTCATCAGAATAATTAGCTTGTACTGTCACCAGTACAAGCTTCAGGGTGCCCCGTTACACCTGGTAGCACTTTGTAGTCCGTCCAAGGACCACTCATCTAACATGAATATGTAGATGATGAAGACGCCATAACCATGCGGCGGCTACTCCCATTTGAAGATGTCGAATGGGATCATGGTTAAAGGATAAATCAAAACAACAATATTGCTTCACCAAGCCTTGAAGGTTCTCAACAATCATAGTTGTTGAGAGAACAGGGCGTGACTGTTGAGACAGCAGCAGGCTGGTGGGTCGATGCTTCGCGTCGACCCGAAACTTGGTTGACTCTCAAGTATAGGGCGAAGAGGACTCAAGGTTGCACGACCCATATGCGTTTGGGTCGTTGGAAGTCTTCAAGTCGCGGCTCAGACAAACGTTTGAACCGCCTAGAGCTGAGTTCAGAGCTCGAACTGAACTCTTGAAGCTCAAGCAGGGTAAGCGTGATGTGCACGCTTACGCGCAACATATACGACATCTCACGAGTTGTATAAGTTCCAACCCGGTGGATGAACACACGTTGGTTTCGGTGTTCATGCAGGGTCTTGCGGATGGTCCCGTCAAGACTCACCTGTTCCGGCTTGAACTAGATTCACTAGAACAAGCCATTTCCATTGCGGAACAGAAAGACTTCAGTCTGAGACAGGCTCGCGCCAGCTCAACATCATATCGTCAACCGAGACGATATGACAGCGGAGGTCCAGAGCCGATGGAACTCTGTTATGTAGAGAGCGAGAAGGCTCGCTCTACAGACTACAAGAAGTTGCAGAAATGCAACAGATGTCAGAAGACAGGACACTACGCTTACGAGTGTAGTGCCCCTCGTCCAGTGTCTCGCAACACTGGGCGTAGTGACCGTCCACCCATGAGAAAGGGGCGGGAACGCGGGTCCGCTGTTGGTGCAAAGACGCAACAACGGGATGGACTGTCAAAAAACGGACAGGATCAGTAGGTGCGGAGCACCCTACTGGTCCAGCAACGTCAAGATAATTTGCAGGCCTCTTGATGAAGGTTTCTCCCAACACACAAACGTTGTGCGTTGCTGCTCTAGGTAATGAGATCTCACTCATTACCTTGAAACTCGAAGTGACAAATAAGTTGTCCCTTCGAGCTCTAGTCGATTGTGGGGCGTCCAACAATTTTGTGCGACGCCAATCGCTAGAAGGTGGTCACTTTAAGTTCAGTGAATGTGACACACCTCCTACGAGGATGATGGTACGTCTTGCGACAGGCGCATCCGTAACCGTCATGAAGCGTATAGTGAAGATCCACTATACGCTAGAAGATACCCAATATGACGATGACTTTATCGTATTGGATTTGGATGACAAATTTGATGTCATCCTTGGAATACCGTGGCTCAGAAGGTACGAGCCACGAGTAAACTGGCACCATCGAACAGTAACGATGCCTGCCGCTTGTTCATCAGATGGCCATCTGATGAACGTTTTGGAGCGTCCACAAGCGTGTGGATGTACTACGAGTGAGTGCGATGGCCTCACTTGTGGTACGGTCGTTAGTACGACTGCACAAGACCTTAGTGTAACAAACAGTTACACTTCGGAGCAAGATTCCGGCGGCTGTGAGGAAACACAGGCTGCTCCGAAGTTCCACCACTCGAATAAGTCGAGTGGACTGGGACAAAGATGTATCCCTAGCGGAAAACATCTAGAAGAGAAACAATCGATCGCTCAGGTTAAGCGAAACGATAATCCTGGATCGACTGGAGAGTCTTTCGTAGAGGATCTCGCTGTGGTTGCGCAACCACATCTAGAGGAAGTAAAGGGAATAAGTCCCGATATTACAGACACGGCGGAAATAAGTTTCCCGAAATCCGAGGGAATAAGTCCCCGGGAAGCCGAAGGAACAAGTCTTTCGAGGCCTGAGGGAGTAAGTCCCCAGGAAATGACAGAGACATTGAATGTCCTAGTCAATGATGTATCAAGTGTGGGCGCTTACACACTTGATCTGATTGCGCTTCCGAAGTTGACTTCGGAGATCACTCAGTTGCCAACGCTCGAACATAAAAGGTTCTTGCGTGATCTGCGTAGTGGCAAAGTCAAGCAGATCTGCGTACTCGTCGCTGACGACGAGTGTGTAGCCGACATAAGGTCAGCAACAGTGTTTACTGAGAACGAGAGAGTTCTCAGTAGTTCATCGATGGACGAGAGTGTCCTAGATGAAAAGACACGAGTTGAGCGATATAACTCCCAATCGTGGTAATCGCTCAAGACAAATCCTCTCGATGAAGATTTGGTTGAATTCAAGGATGTATTCCCTGAAACTGTTCCGTGCGAATTACCGAAGGATAAAGGTACTCGGCACGAGGCCGAGCTTAAACCAGGCTTGACGTACTGTGTCATGAAGCAGTGGCCACTGCCTCGTGAACAAGTACTTGCGATCGACAAGTTTTTTGCCGATCGTTTAGCTGCGGGCCATGTGAGGGAATCAACCTCCCCACATAGCTCTCCGACCTTCTGTATGCGAAAAGCAACAGGAGGGTGGCGGATTGTGCATGCATTTAACAAGTTGAATGCTGCAACGGTGCCGGCTCAGACGCCGATACCAAGGAAGGACGTAAACTTTGATGGTACGTCAAAGAGTACCATCTTTTCGTCCATGGATTTGATGGATGGCTTCTATCAAATCCTTTTGCGAGAATGGGACATACCCCTATACCGCAGTGAGCACGCCTAGCGGCATGCTCTGGGAATGGCTAGTAATCCCCCTGCCACGTTCAACAGATGTGTATCACATCTGTTGACACCAGTACGAAAATTTGCACCGAGTTGTTTCGATGACGTATTCATTCATAGTCGGGCTATGGATGGAAAGTCGGACGTTGAGGTTCACAGATACCACGTCCGACAGGTTCTTACAATCATGCGAAAGCATCAATTGTATGCAAATCTCAAGAAGTGTATATTTGCAGCAAGCGAAATACCACTTCTTGGGTGCATCGTTGGTAAGAACGGTGTACGTCCTGATCCCGAAAAGATCAAGGCGATCACCGACTGGCCTGTGCCAGTTGATGTCAAAGGTCGTCGAAAATTTCTGGGCTAGTGGCGTATTTGCACAGGTATTCACGCAATTACGCCGAGATGACTGTACACCTCTCTCGTTTGTTGAAAAAGAACGAGATATGGTTATGGAATACTGAATGTCAGCGCTCCTTTGATGGTATCAAGCAGAGCTTGATAGAATCCCCATTCCTAGCAATTGCCGATCAGGACAGGCCATTTCATGTGGTCTGTGATGCCAGCGATTTCGCAATCGGCTGTGCAATAGTGCAGTACGATCTTGACGGCGTTGAACGCGTCGTCTGCTATCAGTCGCGTCAGCTGCAACCAGCGGAGCGGAACTATCCAGTGCATGACAAGGAACTCCTTGCCATGAAGTATGCACTCGCGAAGTTCAGAGTCTATCTATTAGGAGATAGACCCTTCATTGTTTACACTGACCATGCGTCATTACGCACGGCAGTAAACAGCCCGCACCTTTCACAACGAATGGCGCGGTGGTTGACATTCTTCTTTGCAGAATACAACTTTACGGTAGTGTACAAACCAGGACGGCTTAATGTCGTCGCTGATGCACTCTCACGTCGGCCCGACTTTGAACCAGTCGTGCAACCCAACAGTGAGACAGTCACTGTTGCGGTTATGACGTCCACCATACCATCTACAACGTTACATGATGATGTGAGGCGGACGTTTGCCCAAGATGGTGAGATTGTGAAGTTGTTGACACATCTCTCACAGCCATCTCGAGAATCGTTGAAACGACTATCGTCTACTTATCGATCTGCACAAGATCGATACACTACTCGCAACGGTTTACTGTATTACACAGCCGTTACTGGTGACACACCACGTGTTGTCATTCCAGATGATACTGATCTGCGTTTGCGGATCATGTTCGAGTATCACGATGCTCCTATAGGAGGACATCGTGGCCGAGAGAAAACATATCTCACGGTGAGTCGAGACTTTTACTGGCCCCGGCAGTATCAGTTTGTGCGAAAGTATGTTCGCGCATGCGAAGTCTGTCAACGAGTGAAGTCAAGTCCTTCACTGCGTGCACCTTTACAGCCTCTACCGGTTCCGGCTGAGTGCTGGGAATCCATCTCAATGGATTTCGTCTTCGGGTTACCCAAAGACGCGCGCGGGAATACGGGTATTCTCGTATTTGTTGACCGATTCAGCAAAATGGTACACCTTGTGGCTGTACCCGAGTCAATCACAGCAAGTGGCTGTGCTTGTGTCTTTATTGACACCATCTTTCGACTTCATGGGTTGCCCCGTGAACTCGTATCAGACAGAGATCCACGATTCACTGCTGATTTCTGGCGTTCCGTGTTCAAATCACTCGGAACGCGCTTGAAGATGTCGACATCTGATCATCCAGAGTCAGATGGTCAGACGGAACGAGCCAATCGTGTCCTTGAAGAGATACTTCGAGGATACGTACACTCCTTTACGATTTGGGGTGAGTTCTTGCCAATACTAGAGTTTGTCATTAACAACTCGGTGCATGCGTCCACGACACATACACCGTTTTACGTGAATGGCTTACGCCATCCACGTGTACCCACCCACCTTACTAGAGTGTAGCTCTGGTTCAAGGGGAGAGAGACTCGTGCGATCAAAAACCTGAGGCGTGAGAAGTGCTCACTCCGGGTGCACGCATGCGTGCAGCCGCCTTTCTTGCTGCTGTAGTAGCAACTCGCTTTGTTATCGAAACCATGCGTTGGATTGGCAAATGAATGGGATTTGACCACCAAGTACTCCCTTTCCCAGAGTGATCCAACGGTGGTCACCCTTTCCCAACCAATTCAATTCATTCAACGGGTGATTGATAGTTAAGGGGGGGATATGTCACGGGGTAGCCCGTTACATGAAATTGACACCAAACGGTGTCAATAGGGAGATTGTCTAGCGTGACAATCCCCTACCAATATCATCCGAGATGGATAATATTGGAGGAAAATTATCCCCTTGTAGGATACTGTTCATGCGCTGCTCAAATGTTGGTTGATTAAAGACATATCAATCATAATTACCACCAATCGCTGCTAGACGCGCACAATGAGTGGTGAGCAGGTTGTCATCATACGACAATGTAGATTAATATAGTTAGATAAAGACTGAAGTTATATTGATAGCTTAACTATATTAAATCCGGTTCTCTTTTTACCCTTTACTCATCTTAGTCGTTGAGTAGATTAGCTTCCTCTGCACGTACTAGTGTACGTTAAGTTTCGTGGAACCCAGACAAAGGGTATCCCGTTACATCTGCTGACCACGTTCGAGGAGCAAGGTCACTTTTGTCTCGTGCTGGAGCTCCTAGGGCCTCCTGTGCTCGAAGTGGGACCTGGAGTCCGTGGCGTCATGCACTCAGTGGAGCTCGAGCTGCTCCGAACCAGACACTGCAGCTCTTGAACCGCACGCGGCACTTGTCTGCTCCTGATGTGTAACGGGGCACCCTGAAGCCTGTACTGATGACAGTACAAGCTACTTATTCTGATGACAGAATAAGGCGGTGCCTCAGAACTTCACGTACACTGGTACGTGCAGAGGAAGACGGTAAGAAGAAGAGAGTACTCGGTAAAAGTAAAAAGTAGAACTGTATTTATCATAGTTAATGTCTGTTAATAAATCAATATTTATCCTCATCTAACTATGTCTAAATACAAGTGTGTAAATCAACTCTCTGCTCACCGCTCATTGCGTGCGTCTGTCGTGGCGCGTCTTCGTCGGTTGATATAATGGCCTATATCAACCAATTAGGAACTACTCGTAAGTGCTACAGAATAGTTGTCCTTATGACGATATTCTGAGAGTGTAACTCTAATTAATATATTTATCAACAATTTCTTATAAATTGTTAGGTAACGATTCACCCCGTTACATCACCCCCCCTTAACCATCAGTCACTTTAGTGACTAATTGACTAAATGGATACTCGTCCCAAATCATTTGGGACAGGGTTTTCACTTGTTGGTCCGAGTCCACTTTCCAACAGTTCAGCGCATCGTTAACAAGCCCATGCGATGCGCGAGCAAGGCCGCCGAGAGAGCTTCCGCACGTCTCTGTGCGGACGCCGAAGCAGAAACCACAGCAACTGATGTCTCATCGGTTGCTGAAGCGACTCAGCATGTGTCACTTGGTGATGCAGGCGCTGGTCATGAAGACACTCATGTCTTCACAGAGTATGAGCTCGGTGTCTCATACTCTCCCGATACGGAAGATGGATCTGTATCGACGGCGATCGAAACCAAGCCGCCTGCCAAGCGTGGCATGGATGATGCTATACGTCGTAGCATCTTTGGTTCATCTGATGCATCAGATGAACCATCGCCGAAGCGAAGGCGCTCGAGGTCGCGAGACTCGGGCGCTCACAGTGGTGTCGGTTCTCCTATGGACACCACTTCACAGCGAGGTGCCAGTACTTCTGTCGGCACATCGCAGGAAGAGCGGGACCGCAATGTCTTGCGTCTCGCTCCTGAGAAGAAGGCATGGATGCCTCCAAAATCCGTCATGGATCACTCGTCGTCGCCGACAAGTGATCGTTATCGAACACGGTTGTTCGATTCGTCAAGGTTCCATCACCTTGACCCCAGTGCGAAAAACTATCGCGCTGAGAATGATTTCTTCATCGATGCTTTCTTTAAACATCGATGGTACAGTGGGAATCACAAACGTGATGGTCCCTCACTGCTTCAAGCGTGGAACGCCTACATCCATAACCTTGAGGATGTAGGTCGTGACGTTTGGAACGACAAACTTATCAAAGCTCGTGATAAGTTTGAAAAGCGAACCCCGACAGGTGCACGCTACAAGCTGCATCGTCTGTCAAGGGAGAAAGGATTACCCTGCCTCTCTTGGGGAGACTCGTGCCCATGTTGTGTGGACAACTCTGCACGAGCACCTAAGGAGGCTCACCTCCTTAACAGCCCGTGGTGGCGCGTACGTATCTCTAGTGAGATGTACGAAGGGATAGACAACCTGAAACCCCTTTACGACCGTGCCGGGAAGACTTTCTCCGGCGGTCCTTCTTCGGCACAGGATGTGCCGCGTCGTACTGCTCAACCAGACCCAGTACGTCAACCATCAGTTGGGAGCGGGGCTCCCAAGTATCCAAGGACGGGGGATAGCCGCGCCACCGGACGAGATAACTCGTCCGACGTCCGTTCACGTCGCGGTGGTTCAACAGCCACTCAACCAGATAGCGCTGGCCACCGCGAGAGTCCTCTAATGGAGGTGGAGGAGGAGGAAAGACGCTCTCCACACCATCGTGGGGATGCGTGTGTTCCCGAGAGCTTCTTTGATCACGTAACGCAAGGGTTACGCAACGATCTCGAACATGAGCGGGTGAGGCGTCATCAACTGGCGGACACTGTCGTGAAGCATCGAGCTGAGTTTGCCTTTGCTCAGCTTGAGAACGAGAGAGCTCTGACATCTCTTCGTGACGAGCTAAGGGTAGCTCGTGGGATTGCTGACCGGTCTGGGGCTGAGATAACTGCTCTTCAGACCCTTGTCGATATCCACCATCGGGAGCACAAGGCTCTCTGCGAGATGCTTGAGCGCAAGGGCGTTCTTCATCGGAAGAAGCAGCGTACTGATGGTGCGGCTTAAGCCGACCAACGTAAAACGTGGGATGCGTTCGCATCTTACGTGGTAACTCGATCGTGTATGCATTGCCTAGGCGGTGCAATACACGAAATGGGCCAATGTACTTGGGCAGTAGTTTACTGCTACCCAAGTCAGTCACTACATGCTTTGGTAGATTAACCGTAGACAGTAGGACTAAGTCACCTTTATTAAATAAAAGAGTGTTTGCCCTTCCATTCTTGTCAGCGTTTTGCTTTTGCTTATCCACCGCCTCGGCGATGGAGTCTTGCACAAAACGGACTACCGTTTTACGAGCCAGTATATGAACTCATCTGATGACTCGTTAGCTTCAGTGCGCTGTAAGCGCACTGCAGCAACATCAACCTTTTCTTCAGTGAGGGCTTCCGCACTCTCACTGGGATCATCTTCTTCAGTGAAGGCTTCCGCACTCTCACTGGCATCATCTTCTTCGATATCGATGTTATCGATATCGGCATCAAACGCAATGACTTCTTCGTCAGAGCGTGATGAGCGTGTACAATTCGGTTTTTGCTCGCGCGAGTCCCCCCCCCTTAAACCAAAGTTACACTCTAGTAAGGTGGGTACACGCGGATTGCGCAAGCCATTCACGTAAAACGGTGTATGTGTCGTGGACGCATGCACCGAGTTGTTGATGGCAAACTCTACCATTGGCAAAAACTCACTCCAAATCGTAAAGGAGTGTACGTATCCTCGAAGTATCTCTTCAAGGACACGATTGGCTCGTTCCGTCTGACCATCTGACTCTGGATGATCAGATGTCGACATCTTCAAGCGCGTTCCGAGTGATTTGAACACGGAACACCAGAAATTAGCAGTGAATCGTGGATCTCTGTCTGATACGAGTTCACAGGGCAACCCATGAAGTCGAAAGATGGTGTCAATAAAGACACAAGCACAGCCACTTGCTGTGATTGACTCGGGTACAGCCACAAGGTGTACCATTTTGCTGAATCGGTCAACAAATACGAGAATACCCGTATTCCCGCGCGCGTCTTTGGGTAACCCGAAGACAAAATCCATTGAGATGGATTCCCAGCACTCAGCCGGAACCGGTAGAGGCTGTAAAGGTGCACGCAGTGAAGGACTTGACTTCACTCGTTGACAGACTTCGCATGCGCGAACATACTTTCGCACAAACTGATACTGCCGGGGCCAGTAAAAGTCTCGACTTACCGTGAGATATGTTTTCTCTCGGCCACGATGTCCTCCTATAGGAGCATCGTGATACTCGAACATGATCCGCAAACGCAGATCAGTATCATCTGGAATGACAACACGTGGTGTGTCACCAGAAACGGCTGTATAATACAGTAAACCGTTACGAGCAGTGTATCGATCTGATGCAGATCGATAAGTAGACGATAGTCGTTTCAACGATTCTCGAGATGGCTGTGAGAGATGTGTCAACAACTTCACAATCTCACCATCTTGGGAAAAAGTCCGCCTTACATCATCATGTAACGTTGTAGATGGTATGGTGGACGTCATAACCGCAACAGTGACTGTCTCACTGTTGGGTTGCACGACTGGTTCAAAGTCGGGCCGACGTGAGAGTGCATCAGCGACGACATTAAGCCGTCCTGGTTTGTACACTACCGTAAAGTTGTATTCTGCAAAGAATGACAACCACCGCGCCATTCGTTGTGAAAGGTGCGGGCTGTTTACTGCCGTACGTAATGACGCATGGTCAGTGTAAACAATGAAGGGTCTATCTCCTAATAGATAGACTCTGAACTTCGCGAGTGCATACTTCATGGCAAGGAGTTCCTTGTCATACACTGGATAGTTCCGCTCCGCTGGTTGCAGCTGACGCGACTGATAGCAGACGACGCGTTCAACGCCTTCAAGATCGTACTGCACTATTGCACAGCCGATTGCGAAATCGCTGGCATCACAGACCACATGAAATGGCCTGTCCTGATCGGCTATTGCTAGGAATGGGGATTGTATCAAGCTCTGCTTGATACCATCAAAGGAGCGCTGACATTCAGCATTCCATAACTATCTCTCGTTCTTTTTCAACAAACGAGAGAGGTGCACAGTCATCTCGGCGTAATTGCGTGAATACTTATGCAAATACGCCGCTAGCCCAAGGAATTTTCGAAGACCTTTGACATCGACCGGCACAGGCCAGTAGGTGATCGCCTTGATCTTTTCGGGATCAGGACGTACACCGTTCTTACCAACGATGCACCCAAGAAGTGGTATTTCGCTTGCTGCAAATATACACTTCTTGAGATTTGCATACAATTGATGCTTTCGCATGATTGTAAGAACCTGTCGGACGTGGTACCTGTGAACCCCAACGTCCGACTTTCCATCCATAGCTCGACTATGGATGAATACGTCATCGAAATAACTCGGCGCGAATTCTCGTACTCGTCTCAACAGATGTGATACCCATCTGTTGAACGTGGCAGGGGCATTACTAGCCATTCCCAGAGCATGCCGCTAGGCGTGCTAACTGCGGTATAGGGTATATCCCGTTCCCGCATAAGGATTTGATAGAAGCCATCCATCAAACCCATGGACGAAAAGATGGTACTCTTTGACATACCATCAATGATTACGTCCTTCTTCGGTATCGGCGTCTGAGCCGGTACCGTTGCAGCATTCAATTTGTTGAACGCGTGCACTATCCGCCACCCTCCTGTTGCTTTTCGCACACAGAAGTTCGGAGAGCTATGTGGGGAGGTTGATTCCCTCACATGGCCCGCAGCTAAACGATCGGCAAAGAACTTGTCGATCGCAAGTACTTGTTCACGAGGCAGTGGCCACTGCTTCATGACACAGTACGTCAAGCCTCGTTTAAGCTCGACCTCGTGTCGAATACCTTTATCCTTCGGTAATTCGCACGGAACAGTTTCAGGGAATACATCCTTGAATTCAACCAAATCTTCATCGAGAGGATTTGTCTTGAGCGATTCCCATGGTTGGGAGTTATATCGCTCAATTCGTGTCTTTTCATCTAGGACACTCTCGTCCATCGATGAACTACTGAGAACTCTCTCGTTCTCAGTGAACACTGTTGCTGACCTTATGTCGGTTACACACTCGTCGTCAGCGACGAGTACGCAGATCTGCTTGACTTTGCCACTACGCAGATCACGCAAGAACCTTTTATGTTCGAGCGTTGGCAACTGGGTGATCTCCGAAGTCAACTTCGGAGGCGCAATCAGATCAAGTGTATAAGCGCCTACACTTGATCCGTTATTGACTATGACATTCAATGTCTCTGTCATTTCCTGGGGACTTACTCCCTCAGGCTTCGAAGGACTTATTCCTTCGTCTTCCCGGGGACTTATTCCCTCGGGTTTCGGGGAACTTATTTCCGCCGTATTTGTAATCTTGGGACTTATTCCCTTTACTTCCTCTAGCTGGGGTTGCGCAACCACAGCGAGATCCTCTACGAAAGACTCTCCAGTCGATCTAGGATTATCGTTTCGCTTAACCTGAGCGATCGATTGTTTCTCTTCTAGATGTTCCCCGCTAGGGATACATCTTTGTCCCAGTCCACCCGACTTATTCGATTGGTGGACCTTCGGCGCAGCCTGTGTTTCCTCACAGCCGCCGGAACTTTGCTCCGAAGTGTAACCGTTTGGTACACTAAGGTTTTGTGCAGTCGTACTAACGACCGTACCACAAGTGAGGCCATCGCACTCACTCGTAGTACATCCACACGCTTGTGGACGCTCCAAAACGTTCATCAGATAGCCATCTGATGAACAAGCGGCAGGCATCGTCACTGTTCGATGTTGCCAGTTTACTCGTGGCTCGTACCTTCTGAGCCACAGTATTCCAAGGATGACATCAAATTTGTCATCCAAATCCAATACTATAAAGTCATCATCATATTGGGTATCTTCTAGTGTATAGTGGATCTTCACTATACGCTTCATGACGGTTACGGATGCGCCTGTCGCAAGACGTACCATCATCCTCGTAGGAGGTGTGTCACATTCACTGAACTTAAAGTGACCACCTTCTAGCGATTGGCGTCGCACAAAATTGTTGGACGCCCCACAATCGACTAGAGCTCGAAGGGACAACTTATTTGTCACTTCGAGTTTCAAGGTAATGAGTGAGATCTCATTACCTAGAGCAGCAACTCACAACGTTTGTGTGTTGGGAGAAACCTTCATCAAGAGGCCTACAAATTCTCTTGACGTTGCTGGACCAGTAGGGTGCTCCGCACCTACTGATCCTGTCCGTTTTTTGACAGTCCATCCCGTTGTTGCGTCTTTGCACCAACAGCGGACCCGCGTCCCCGCCCCTTTCTCATGGGTGGACGGTCACTACGCCCAGTGTTGCGAGACACTGGACGAGGGGCACTACACTCGTAAGCGTAGTGTCCTGTCTTCTGACATCTGTTGCATTTCTGCAACTTCTTGTAGTCTGTAGAGCGAGCCTTCTCGCTCTCTACATAACAGAGTTCCATCGGCTCTGGACCTCCGCTGTCATATCGTCTCGGTTGACGATATGATGTCGAGCTGGCGCGAGCCTGTCTCAGACTGAAGTCTTCCTGCTCCGCAATGGAAATGGCTTGTTCTAGTGAATCTAGTTCAAGCCGGAACAGGTGAGTCTTGACGGGACCATCCGCAAGACCCTGCATGAACACCGAAACCAACGTGTGTTCATCCACCGGATTGGAACTTATACAACTCATGAGATGTCGTATATGTTGCGCGTAAGCGTGCACATCACGCTTACCCTGTTTGAGCTTCAAGAGTTCGGTTCGAGCCCTGAACTCAGCTCTAGGCGGTTCAAACGTTTGTCTGAGCCGCGACTTGAAGACTTCCAACGACCCAAACGCATATGGGTCGTGCAACTTGAGCCCCAGTGCCCAAGTCTTGGCACGTCCTGCCAGATTTGACTGGGCAAATGCAACTTGCATATCCCCGTCGTCGATGCGACGCGCCCTTATGGCGTCATCCAATTCGACGAAAGTGCTACCAGGTGTAACGAGGCACCCTGAAGCTTGTGCTGGTGACAGTACAAGCTACTTATTCTGATGACAGAATAAGGCGGTGCCTCGTAACTTCACGTACACTCGTACGTGCAGAGGAAGACGGTAAGAAGAAGCGAGTACTTGGTTAAAGTAAAAAGTAGAACTGTATTTATTATAGTTAATGTCTGCAATAAATCACTATTTATCTTCATCTAACTATGTCTAAATACAAATGTGTAAATTGATTATCTGCTCACCACTCATTGCGTGCGTCTGTCGTGGCGCGTCTTCGTTGGTTGATATAATGGCCTATATCAACCAATTAGGAACTACTCGTAAGTGCTACAGAATAGTTGTCCTTATGACAATATTCTGAGAATATAACTCTTATAGTTATATTCTATTAACAAATTCTTATAAATTGTTATGTAACGATTCACCCCGTTACACGTACGCTCTCGGGCAGCAACTGAGCGCAAGATCCGCTATCGTCCACGCTTCCAGAGACCGCAAGGGGCGGAAAGCGGGTGTGCAGACTCAGCGACAGTCGCCAAGACAGAGCGCCTGCGTGAACCTCAGCGTCCACTCCGACAGGCTCGAGCGCAACCCTCGTGTCTTCCACTTTTCCAGTGATTTGCAACGAGCACGAGGCGGGAGGGGGTGAGTGGCTACAGACAAGCAGGACGAGTCGTAATTGCAATGCGACGGGACAGCAGAAGGGACAGAAGGGAATAGAACCAGCATTGTACCTTCTTTGACAATAGCACGCGCGAGGAATGTTCACTGAAGAGAATAAGAAAAGAAATGGACACTACAACACGACACGCGTGGGATAGACGCCAGGCCATCGTGGACGATCGCCGTCGGATCGGAGCTTCACTCGCATGGCCCTAAATGGGCATGGAAACCAAAGAAGAAGAGGAGCATCGCAAGGGGAGCACTGCAGCGGACTTGGACTTCTGCCATGGACTAGCGCGGTGGATAATGGAGGAAGCGGTCCTGGTGTGGTCCTGTAGGACAAAAAGCAAGTTGCCATCAGGCAGCGCAGCTCAAACGGCACAAAGACATAGCAAAGACGTCATCTGCGTGTGGAACACGACAAACGCGCACAGGAGACGCCCCTGCTTGCGACAAAACGCTTCACGGGAATACTTCTAAAGCGATAACCTGTAGCTGATTCCTTCACTTATCTTGCATCCAGAACGTCTGGGCTTTACTTCGGCCTAGTCGCCTTTCAGCCTGACAAAAGACACGTGACAATCAGGAACGCAATCAGAAGGAATCGTTGTTATTGTGCTTTCGTGCATTTGTTCTCAACGTATTCACATTGTTGTTTACTCTGTAGATGGTAGCACTAGCTGAAGAAGTTGTGAAATAGCTATAAAATCATCGGCAGGACTTCGACGAAGTTAACATCTTGCACTGGGTGCCTAGAAGTGCGCACAGATTGAGATCGGGAGAGCGTGAAAAGCTTTAGTACGCCTGCTTGTTTTAACTCATCGGACGTAGTTGTAAGACGTCTGCTTTATAGTTAGTACCAAACCCTCCCAACTCGTTTCTACGATTTGTACCCATTTATTACAAATCTCCAAACATTTTGTCGTCGACGCCGACTTCAAGCAAAGATAATGGAGTGCATGCTCCACTAACGCCATGAGTCGCCAAGGCCACAGCGACAATTCTTTCAGGTCGACGATTACCGTAAAACTTGACGCATGCCTTGATACAAAAACAGATCAGTGGAGGTGGTATTACAGATTGTCTATTTCCATGGTTATATTAACTACACGCGAGATCTCTGGTATATCTTACGCCATACCTGTGATCGTCGGTGGGTGAGTGACCCGGGCTGACGGTGACTGGGGCCCATAAATACTAAAAACCTTTGTGGATTCGCGCTCCAGCTTCTGCAAGGGCGAACCTTTGTACATAATGAAGTCTCAAACCTCGAACGCTATTAACACAGCCTGTAGACCGTCGCGTGCTATCGCCAATGCGACGGCACCGAATGTAAAAGATTCGTAATCAGCCGCTTGCGCGTCCTCCGACGTGGAGTGCGGTCACCGATAGCATCCGCGAGGGGCGGGGGACGCCACCCGCCGCTAAACAATCCCCCTGCCTCCCTACGCACGAGCCGCAGTCGCGCGAGAGGCATTCCCAAGTCGTGACCTCCCCCGTTTCTGCTCTCGCGAGGGAGAATTCCCGCCGATAGGGGCGGTCTTATGTGAAGGCGGAGGTTTAAACTGACTTGATAGAGACTGCGAATAATTTGGGAATCAAAAACAGATAAGTGGGTCCAAATGCTCCTTTGTCATGTCTATTGGCTGCTCTCGCTTCCGTCTTCGGATGACGTGTGCCGATGCTCAAAGAACTCTTGAGATGAACGACTCCTCGGCCAAAGTTGGGGCACCCGGATCTGATTGATGCCATCAGCTCTCCTCACCTGTGTCAGATCAGATTGACGCTGCGCCTATTTTTCCTGGAGGGCTTACAAAGTCCAGGCGAGGATCTAAACGTTCCCACTGTCGCAAAACAATAGAGAAGCTCATCGAGGTGGTACAAGACTGTCGCGATGGATGCCACTGGTACAAGTCACGGGGACTGTAAATGATAGCTAGCAGCATTCAACGCTCGCAACGCCAATAGAGCACATCTTCTTGTTTTGTCGTATTCAGCTGTTTCAATTGCTGTCTAAATCCTGTCACTTGATCTCAGCAGCTAGTCTCGACCTCCCAAAAGTTTACGCACAGCCATAAACCAGAGCAGACAGGAACCCACGCAAGCAGAGCCAGCTAATATACAATCCACTAACCAGTGATGTTTTTGTAGATGTATGACAGCAATCATCGCCCGCAAAGCTTGCTGGGCACAACTCCCTGATTTGCTCTAGTCTATTGTATGAGCCGCTATCCCCAGCATGTCGCTCGATCTCGGCTGTGCAACTGACTCTTAAAAGTTTACGTACAGCCACTATAAAGAAGAGCAGAAAGAAATTTATTCGCCAATCAAACTGGTAGGAGCCCACTCAGCCCTGATTTTTCCTTCCATTGCTGGCTTTTTTTCTGTCTCAACGTGTGATGTGTTCCCCTGGTCTTCTTACAAGTTTACGATTTGCCATAAACAAGACCAGACAGGGATCTACGCTCGTAGATCCAATTGGCTGAAAACGAAAGAACGCTGATTTGTCATCCAAGGCTTCGTTCTATGATCTCGTGAAGAAGCATCTCTTGTTTTTTGTATGGAGTAAGTCGATGGCTTCGCCCAGTCAACATCCCATGACTGGGGACGGTTGGCCCTTGGACTTTCAAGCATCTACTTCAAACGACCATTCTGGAATTTGCCAAACAGGGCACGGACTACTACTCCAAGAATCAAGCACCATCTCCGATGAACGTCAAGGGCTTACTGGCCGTCGTGATGGCCACCACCGCATGCAGTCCCTCCATGAGTCAAACCGCCGAGTTCAAGTGCACTCATTCTATAACTCAGTGTGCCAATCTTCGACAGGATCAGCTCGACAGCGCTACCGAACAGTGTAAAGATATCGGTAGCTTTCGGTGCTGTCAAGTCCGATGCATGAGCTACAGTTGCTGGGGTTATTCCACCTGTGTTCAAAAATTTATTCCTCAGCTGACTAACGATGCTACAACCAACTGTCTTGGAAGGTCTGATCTACGCGAGTGTTGCGAGGGTTACTGCTTAACACACTGAGGTGAAGGAGTTCACAGCGCAGGCGTCACGAACGGTCACCACACCGCGACTCATGAAGGAGCCCCGTTGACGCGAATCTACCGTGGATTGAAGGTCTCATTCTGGTGGATTCTAGCATTCAGACCACTTCGAGAGCACGTACGCTAACTTTGATCGAATGCAAAAAGTTGTTAGTTGCCGACTTTCAGTTTGTTAGCCGTGTGAATTTCAAACTCTAGCTTCTTCCTGCATGAATGTACTTGCCTGCCGCCCCGTCTTTCTAGCCTACTCCTGTTCAGTCAGAACTGGTAAGCGAGTAGACTGACAAAATCATATTAACTGCTCGGCATTCACTTAGCTTACTATACTCTAGATAACTGGGACATTCCAGAGCCAGGGAAGTGGTGTCCATTTCCTCGGAAGGGAAGTTTCCCTCAGTGAGTCCAAGGTAAAATGGTGGAAGTCTCATCCTTGCTGCCCCCTCCGGGAGGCAACATCCCACAATGCCTCGAAAAGGTAGCAGTCCGCAGGAAATCCCTGGCTTTGGGCTGTCTACCAAGTTCGAGGTGTCCGGCATCGCTTCAGTTTCCACCCTCCACGATCCAGCCCAAGTCGCTGACACGTTCGCCGAGCGCAAACGCCATACCCAAGACTAGAACAGCTTCAAGAGCCGTGACCATCCCGCTCACAGTCAGTATTGTTGCAATGTGCAGGAAGCAGCAAGCCCGACACATTTCGACCTGCGGTGCGCCTAGGCAAACCTGAGATGGACCGTTACCCAAGATCGATAAAAACTTAAAGAAACTCGACCTTTTCGAAAGCCCAGGGTATGTCGTGAAAGCTTGTTGGGGCTCTGCAAGTTGTACATCTAAGCGTTCGCTGCACCCTGAATCTAGACGTCCCCATAGCGCGAACAGCCCAGCCATCTGGTCTCGACTGCGCACCAAATTAGATTTACCCGAACTTGATCAGCGTACCCACTCAGGTGTCTTAAAAAATGTCTTTGTGAACTCTGAAGTACCGAGCCGGCAGAATTATAAAGTGAGCAGGAGGACGATAGCGTCATGGTAGACGAATGAGACTACCACTCAGCAAGAGATCGTGCACGTAGTTGATCTTTTAGTAAGTTGACTATCTTTGTAGGACGCGATGCTCCAGCTCACGATGGATAATATCTACAGTCTTTCCTCCGATAAATTTTCCCCGATAACTTATAATATCTAGTAGTCTATCGATTTCCGCGTCTAAAGACGTTGTTCCATCGCCGCTAAGTTATAAATTTTAAGCTATGATCAAAAAGGGCAATGTATATTGAAAAATGAGCACCTGTTTTCGTATTAGAAAAGTAAAAAGCTACTTGAATAACACGTCAAGGGTGTTTCGGATGGTGGGGGTGTTGCGAAGATCAAGCTGAAGGTTGTGAAAGACTTTATAAGCGGCTAGGTGACGTTCTTGGGATACGTAGAGCAGCGAGCAGGCATTACGAAAAAGGTTAATCTTCTCGGTTCTGGAAAATTTTCGTGCAACAGGTGCTGCATCTTCAATGCTTTCCTCCTCCTCATCTGCCTTTGAAACTTATTGTGGAATCTCGTTGTCGGCTAGCTCAGGCTGAGCAGTCTCATCCTCTTTGCCGAAATCGAGAAGCTCCATAATCTCTGTGGGATCTCGGACACGCATCTTCTTGAGCTGTGCTATCAGCTCATGCTCCAGCTCACACTCATCCTCCTCGACCCCCGTCGTGCTATCTTTACTACTACTCACCTCCACTACACTTAAAATGACCGATTCAGTAGAAAAAACCGTGTGGCTGAAGCAGTTGGCAATGGTAGTGCTTGAAATCTCGTTCCAGGCAGCCACCGACCAGCGCATGGAAGCATTTTGGACGAAATTGTAAATGTCAAAACTCTTCCTATGCTCGTCACAGTCGATCGCATTCTGCAGATGGTACCGGCAATACCGCTGCTTGAACGCTGCAAGGATACCAGCATCCATCCGCCGAATGATGAAGGTCGTACGTGGTGGAACCAGCTGGACGAATGATGGAGGTCGTACGTGTTGGAATCAGCTGGACCTTGACGTTCGTTAACGTAAGGTCGTTCGTCTTATGTGACGGAGCATTGTCAATCAAGAAAAGGATACTTCTACTTTTAATCTGATACAATGCATTATTAAAATTATGAGTTTTCCAATTTCAGAGGCGACGCACCTTTATTGTTTTATCTGGATTTGCAAGCAATTCCTGGAAGGACACGTTCGTCATCCAAGCCTTTGTGTTGTTGTAATAGAGATATTCATTAGCTTGACCTGATTCCTTATCAAATCAGCGGATTTTCTTGGCTTTCCTGATATAGAAAGGCTGCAGCTTGTCAGAGCCATCATCATTTGTAGTAAGCGTAATTTTTAGTCGCGACTGCATAGGATGTCAGTGCACACCTGTAACGGGGTTAATCGTTACAAAACAATTTATAAAAAACTGTTAATCGAATATAACCATGAGAGCTGTATTCTCAGAATATTGTCATAAGGACAAATATTCTGTGGCACTTACGAGTAGTTCCTAATTGGTTGACATAGGCCATTATATCAACCAACGAAGACGCGCCACGACAGACGCACGCAATGAGTGGTGAGCAGAGAGTTGATTTACACATTTGTATTCATACATAGTTAGATGAGTATAAATAGTGATTTATTAGCAGACATTAACTATGATAAATACAGTTCTACTTTTTACTTTAACCAAGGACTCGCTTCTTCTTACCGTCTTCCTCTGCACGTACCAGTGTACGTGAAGTTTCGAGGCACCGCCTTATTCTGTCATCAGAATAATTAGCTTGTACTGTCATCAGTACAAGCTTCAGGGTGCCCCGTTACACCTGGTAGCACTTTGTAGTCCGTCCAAGGACCACGTTCACATCTAACATGAATATGTTGGATGATGAAGATGACCAAAGCTTTCACGCTACGCGTGCCGGCTACTCCCATTTGAGCGATGTCGAATGGGATGCGGTTGAACGGATGGGTTCAACCATGGGCATCCCTGCTGTTAGCGTCATGCTAGAGGCTCTCAATAGAGATGCTCAACATGCTACTATCGCCAAGCTCATTCAAAATGAACTTGACGCCGAACGCGAGAAAGTAGCCTTGCTTCACCAACAAGGTTCTCAACAAGCAGAGTTGTTGAGAGAACAGGGTGATCAATAGTTTGAACTGTTGAGACAGCAGCAGGCTGCTGCTGGTGGGTCGATGCATTCGCGTCGACCCGAGACCTTGAAGATTGACATCTCCAAGACTAGGGGGGTTGAAGAGGACTCCCTCTTGAGATGGTTCGTCGAATCGGATGACGCCATAAGGGCGCGTCGCATCGACGACGGGGAAATGCAAGTTGCATTTGCCCAATCAAATCTGGCAGGACGTGCCAAGACTTGGGCACTGGGGCTCAAGTTGCACGACCCATATGCGTTTGGGTCGTTGGAAGTCTTCAAGTCGCGGCTCAGACAAACGTTTGAACCACCTAGAGCTGAGTTTAGAGCTCGAACTGAACTCTTGAAGCTCAAGCAGGGTAAGCGTGATGTGCACGCTTACGCGCAACATATACGACATCTCACGAGTTGTATAAGTTCCAACCCGGTTGATGAACACACGTTGGTTTCGGTGTTCATGCAGGGTCTTGCGGATGGTCCCGTCAAGACTCACCTGTTCCGGCTTGAACTAGATTCACTAGAACAAGCCATATCCATTGCGGAACAGGAAGACTTCAGTCTGAGACAGGCTCGCGCCAGCTCGACATCATATCGTCAACAGAGACGATATGACAGCGGAGGTCCAGAGCCGATGGAACTCTGTTATGTAGAGAGCGAGAAGGCTCGCTCTACAGACTACAAGAAGTTGCAGAAATGCAACAGATGTCAGAAGACAGGACACTACGCTTACGAGTGTAGTGCCCCTCGTCCAGTGTCTCGCAACACTGGGCGTAGTGACCGTCCACCCATGAGAAAGGGGCGGGGACGCGGGTCCGCTGTTGGTGCAAAGACGCAACAACGGGATGGACTGTCAAAAAACGGACAGGATCAGTAGGTGCGGAGCACCCTACTGGTCCAGCAACGTCAAGAGAATTTGTAGGCCTCTTGATGAAGGTTTCTCCCAACACACAAACGTTGTGCGTTGCTGCTCTAGGTAATGAGATCTCACTCATTACCTTGAAACTCGAAGTGACAAATAAGTTGTCCCTTCGAGCTCTAGTCGATTGTGGGGCGTCCAACAATTTTGTGCGACGCCAATCGCTAGAAGGTGGTCACTTTAAGTTCAGTGAATGTGACACACCTCCTACGAGGATGATGGTACGTCTTGCGACAGGCGCATCCGTAACCGTCATGAAGCGTATAGTGAAGATCCACTATACGCTAGAAGATACCCCATATGACGATGACTTTATCGTATTGGATTTGGATGACAAATTTGATGTCATCCTTGGAATACCGTGGCTCAGAAGGTACGAGCCACGAGTAAACTGGCAACATCGGACAGTAACGATGCCTGCCGCTTGTTCATCAGAGGGCCATCTGATGAACGTTTTGGAGCGTCCACAAGCGTGTGGATGTACTACGAGTGAGTGCGATGGCCTCACTTGTGGTACGGTCGTTAGTACGACTGCACAAAACCTTAGTGTGACAAACGATTGCACTTCGGAGCAAAGTTTCGGCGGCTGTGAGGAAACACAGGCTGCTCCGAAGGTCCTCAACTCGAATAAGTCGAGTGGACTGGGACAAAGATGTATCCCTAGCCGGGAACATCTGGAAGAGAAACAATCGATCGCTCAGGTACAGGGAAACGATAATCCTGGATCGACTGGAGAGTCTTTCGTAGAGGATCTCGCTGTGGTTGCGCAACCACAGCTAGAGGAAGTTAAGGGAATAAGTCCCGATATTACAGACACGGCGGAAATAAGTTTCCCGAAACCCGCGGGAATAAGTACCCGAGAAGCCGAAGGAATAAGTCCTTTGAGGCCTGAGGGAATAAGTCCCCAGGAAATGACAGAGACATTGAATGTCATAGTCAATAACGGATCAAGTGTAGGCGCTTACACACTTGATCTGATTGCGCCTCCGAAGTTGACTTCGGAGATCACTCAGTTGCCAACGCTCGAACATAAAAGGTTCTTGCGTGATCTGCGTAGTGGCAAAGTCAAGCAGATCTGCGTACTCGTCGCTGACGACGAGTGTGTAGCCGACATAAGGTCAGCAACAGTGTTTACTGAAAACGAGAGAGTTCTCAGTAGTTCATCTATGGACGAGATTGTCCTAGATAAAAAGACACGAGTTGAGCGATATGGCCCCTAATCGTGGGAATCGCTCAAGACAAATCCTCTCTATGAAGATTTGGTTGAATTCAAGGATGTATTCCCTGAAACTGTTCCGTGCGAATTACCGAAGGATAAAGGTATTCGACACGAGGTCGAGCTTAAACCAGGCTCGAAGTCCTGTGTCATGAAGCAGTGGCCACTGCCTCGTGAACAAGTACTTGCGATCGACAAGTTCTTTGCCGATCGTTTAGCTGCGGGCCATGTGAGGGAATCAACTTCCCCACATAGCTCTCCAACCTTCTGTGTGCGAAACGCAACAGGAGGGTGGCGGATTGTGCATGCGTTCAACAAATT